TATCTCACTGTACTCTTCGTCGTCTCCTTTTTTACTGCCGCTTATCTAGAAGACGTGCATTTATCGCTTTTTGACTGACAATCACTTCTGTTTGATGATTAGGAGACACTCATATATACATACTTACAAGTATATAGTGTTTACATGACAGAGATAGGTGGTTTACGTACCGCGTTGAAGTGGCCGCATGTGGGTATTGACTGTCAGTGCTCCAAATATTTCCTTCTCTACATTTTTTTTATTTGCATCTTGTTGACATTAGAAAAGCAGCTGTTCCACATTGTATAAATATTGCAGCCACTACGTTTTTACTTAATTATTTTGGTGAGATTATGGTGGGATTACACTGAAGTTTGTTGGAATGGGGCAGGTGCAGCGGTTGGTATTTGTTTGAGTTTATTATTAATCACACGAAATTGTACTCAGAAGCCTACTATATACTTCTTAGTGTCTCATAAATACAATGGCGAGTAACTTCACCAAAGTATTTTAGCCCTTCGCGGCAGTCAAGGAATGAAATCGCGAACTAAGCGTCTTTTGGGTATTTACTAGCCTATTTGATGCAATTTCTGGGTAAACTGGGTTAATATGTATTTGAAAGTTAGCGGTCATCCTCCGTTCTCTCAATTTCAGTGAACCTATACTTTAAAATACTACCATTGTGGACTGAAGACAAATTGTCTTACAATATGGGATGTGCTGAAAACGTATGTTAAAAAGGTTACTGCAGCCAACTTTTCAAATTCTATTCAAAAATTACCATTTTTTTTTTCAAATTTTTATGTCTAGCGTACTTTGTATGTCCATGAAAATATTCCCGGTACCATCACCTTGATTTGATTATATGGTTCTGATTACCGTCTGGTTTTGAACTCAGTTGCTACACTTGTCTAAAGACTTCGCTAATGAGACTTCAAAAAATAGAAGAGAATGTCGGACGTAAGAAAAACTCACTATAAAATATGTATCTGCTACAGAAGGCTATGCATACTTCTTTTGGAAACTTTTCATATTGGCTCTCTAGTCTACAAGTGTAAAAACAAGTTTTGTTCGACAGAATAATTCAACGAAAAATATATTAATCTTGCTCTATGGGAAAAGGATAGATTTCACAAAATATCTATGCAACTGCTTCAAAAGACTCACTTACTTATGGTGATTTCAAGAGAAGCTTTGTTCAATAGAATAATTTAAGAAAATATGTATAAATCTGGTGTCTAGAGTTCCTGTATAAGAATAGGAAAAATCTAACCAGAAAAATTAGATTTCCTTCCGAAGGCTCTCTTGCGTATACCATACTTCTTTTGAAGACTTTTAATTGTGACATCTTAGTCTATAAACGTTAAGGAAAGCTTTGTTCGAGAGCTTAATTCGTCGAAAATTAATATTGCGCCTTAGAGTCGTTGTGTAGCATAAACGATATGAGTTTCATGAGGACCATCGTAGCTTAGTCCAACGGCTTTTCCGACAAGAATTTGAATGTTCAAGTGATATTAAATTTTAAACAATATAATTATAACTCGCAGTTCCAAGTGCAGTCGTTCTCTGTGTTTAACCAAATATGGAAGGATTACCGAAGGAGTTGTGAGCTTACTGGTTTGCTCACCTTAAATTGCTAATTTGGTTGTCGTATACTAAACAAAAATTTTATTACCTAAAACTTTTTTTCGAAGATTTTATTGATATACATACATCTCGGCACCACTTCACCACTTCTCTATCCACTGTTTGAGACGATGTGAATAATGCTCGAATGTGACCGTTTGCTATTCTCTTTTTGACTGTGACAGTCCAGTTATTTATTCGATTCGGTACTCTCTAGAGTCTGGCGGGGTAAGGAGCGAGACAAGTATAGAAATTTGGAATATTTTGACGCAGTCTACTTGTAGAATTGGTCGAGTTTTGGCGAAGTTTTTAAAATATCGATATGGAAGTTTGCACACGTCCTTTTCACCACAAGAAAGTTCTCGTTTGTCGGAACCGCCAGTATCGGACCACTATAGGATATATCATAGTCAATATAGTAATCTTTTTATACCCTTTTATGCTGTAAGAAATGCAGCTGTGAAGGTCAATATACAAGTAGCTTCGTTGCAGCCGAAGTTTACATGTTTTTCTTGTTTTAAATATATTTAGCTTAGAGATTACTGTTTTGCCACTAGTTTATAAGCGAACGGGTCTAATATTTACAATATTACCGCAACACCTTATAAAAAATTCAATAATTTCGCTACTTTTGCGTGACTTTTTCATACAAAATGGAGCATAATAATAAGAAAGCACCAGAAATACCGTTGTTGTGCTAAAACTGTATTTTTACAGCGATCGTAAAATATCTGTATACATATTGTGGCTATTAGACATGGAATATGACGTGATCGTTATGCTCTAGAACGTGTCTTAGTGGCCTGCGGTAACACCCAATCAGAAATGCTTGCTTGCAATAGAAAATAGAAAAGGAGGCAAATTTGCAGCTAAAAACAAAAGGAAATTAAAAATAAAAAGCAAAACAATAATAATGCCAGAAAATGCTAAAATGGACTTAAATTACAATTAAAGAGAGCAAATGGCGTTGCTAATAATATATGTTGCAACACAATACGCTTAGAAGAAGAAATATGTTGCATGTGCATATGTATGTATCTCTTTATATGTACATATGTACCGTTTTTTCGTGAAATGCAAAATATTGAACCGGAACAGACAGCGAAATGTATGGGCTAACGATGGAGGCTGAAGTGAGGAAGAGGGTTCCAAAACAAAAAAGCTCAAAGGTATACATATGTACATATTTTAATACATTATGTATATAAAAATGTATGTACTTATATATAATATAATATGATGTAGGCGAAAAGCAAATGCAAATTTAACTTATCCGAACACTGACCACTATTATACCATACATATGTACTTATGTATATGTAAGTATAAGTCTCAGTCGCACAGCATCCAAATTTTCGAATGTATCGCAGCATATAAAGGGTGTAAGGCAGCAGCAGGCATGGCCAGCAGCATGGCTTACTCGCCACAAAAATTGTCCAAACTATCAGATATAATATTGAGATACGCCAGTCATGGCAGCGATTGCCAGATCCATACGTATAAAGAATAATAAATGCACGAACATACATACATACATATATACTTACATTTGGATTTATGCTGCTCCAGCCGCAGTTGTGCACTCCCAGCCAAGTGGAGAAATCCCAAATAAACGTAACAACAATAACACCGGAGTACAATAATAAAGAAATGAGAACGAAATAGTAGTAGAAAAAACTTATATTCATACATACAAACACATACATACAGTTACGAGCAATACAAGAGAGCAGTATGGAGCAAATGGATATAGTTGTGGGTGAAGGGTAAAACGTAAGCACATAACCCCACTCACAATTCACAAATTTACAATTCTACCCACAAGTGAACAGACACACGCAATCACACTCTCCACTCACATGTGTGTTTGTATGTATATTTATGCTCATTCAAGTTGAAAAACAATTTATTAACAAAATAGTATTACATATATTCCTGCAAAGATATGTATATTTAAACGGGCCCACAAACATACAAATACACATACATACATATATACATGAGGACATATTTACACGTGCCTAAAAATCTTTTCGTTGGATACTCAGAGTCACACTTGGTACTCGCTGACTTATCAGTTGGCGTAAATCGCTTGAGAGCGTTTACTCCCTCCCATATTTCTCTGTATGTGTGAGTGTTTCGTGTTGTTTGGGAGCCGCTATGTTTTTGTTGTTTTGCTGAAAACTTGTTTGCTGCAGAGATAGTCATTTTGTGCTCTTTTTGATGGTATATGCTCGCTCTCAAATTTGCTCACCAGATTTTGGTTACATGGGGAAAAAATCAGTTTTAGTTCTATTAGGGCCTTATCTGAAATTTATTTAATTGTTTCAAATATTTATATATATTTTTAGTTTTTTCTACAATACTTTCGGGAAAAAATTTTACAATAAAAGAAAATTTTAGATTCATTCCTTTCCTAGCTTAGCAGCTCAGTTCATTCAACTACATCAGCTTATCTTTAAATGCGTTTTTCTCAAAACTTCCTTGGGATACCAAAAAGGAGCAACATTTTTGGATAAAACTCAATTTTTCTGTTTTAAAACGCCACTTTGTCAATTTCTGATCTTTTTTTCGACCGTAGGTTATTGTACGGACAATATCTTCTAGTAGAGAATTTTTTTTAAGTTTTATCCACGGAGAAGGCCAAAATCTATGCAACAGTGGACGATTTTTGATAGCCCCGTCGGAGATCGTGGGTAACTCGAAAAATATTTAATTTGATTCTTCAAAAACATTACTGTGTATTCTTAAAATATTTAAAATTGACCCAGAATTTTTTTAACAATTGGGCGTAGGTTCATGTCAATATAAGTCTGAGCAAATAACCCAATCAAAACCCTCGGCAATTTAACCAACTGATAAAGCTGTATATTTTTATTGATCAAAATATTATTTCTATATTTAAACAAATATATGATTGTTAGAGCCGATCTTTTCATAGATAACATATCAAAAGCAGTTCCTTGATCTCATTTGCTGGGTAGGCAACAATGAATATAAAACTATATTACCAGCAGACTATAACTAAAAACTACTGATTATTACTATTTTTTAAATTATAGCTGGAATGAAAAAGAATAAAAGATTAAAGATTTACATATTTCTAACCGAAACACTATAATTAAAAGTAATTAAATATAAATGAGAGAAAAAGTGCTAAACTAGGTTGATATTTTATCAAAAATATACTTTTCTTATAAAAAATAAACACAATGATAGAACACGAACTATGCTAGCCCAAAAAAATTTAAAAACATAATTTACATACAAATTTTGGATATTTTTCATTCGGCATTTGGGATATTTTTTTCATTTCGGTATTTGCAATAAAAACTTAATTATTAATTATTATTATTTTGTTAATCTGTTATTTGGAAAAAAAATTTAAATGTTAATTAAATTATATTTTTAATGCAATATTTGCTACCCTGGTTTCAAAACATACCTTTATCCAATTTTTCGATATTTATTTAATACCTCTAATTCTAGGGAAATGCTTGCTTAATATTCTTAGTGAAAATTTTGATTGGAACAGTTTGCAGTTCTTTTCTCCTGTCTGAAATTAAATTTAATATCCCGGTTCGCTTTTCTAGGCAATTTAGACCTGTTAAAATCCTGCAAATCAAATTTCGAACTAAACGAACCATTCCGCCGTATATGTCATGATTTTATCTGACTCACTTTTCTAAATTAAGAAGACTTTATTGCTTTCTCTTATTAAATAAAAATGTAACAATTCATTATATCGCAACTATAAATCTTAGCTGTTGAAATTTTTGTTTCTATAGCTGAGCAGTTTTGGATCGCAACACTTAAAAAACTCTCTTGCCTTTTCTGACACGGCTAATTCCGCACGTATGCGGATTGCACAGCTCGCGTCGGTTGGGCGGGAGGCGGGTAATCGTTAAGTTATTAAATATTATTATTATAAAAATATTTAAAATGATTATTGAATATTTTTTATTGTGTAGTTTGTTTATTTTGTAACGCTCCCACATTTGGGGCGAGCGCCAATATTACACTCGCCTTACTCTGAGAAGAGAGCCAACACTTATACAAAAATTTATTTACGCTCTTTGCAATGAATAACCGAATTCGGCGCATTGAACCGACCGGCCTAGCTCTGCTGACTTGACTGTTAGCTTGCGTATACAATACACTGTTGTTCTTGCTATTTCTGCCATGCTTGCGGTGTAGTATCTGCTGTTTGAGCAAAAGGAAAACAAGACAATAAATGAAAATGGTTTGAAATAGTACGTACGAGGGTATATGACGGTGACTGCTGAGAATTCGGTTTGTTGTGATGAGATTGCTGCCTGTTGCATTCAGTACCTGATATGTCGTACGTGTAAAGTGACGTATCTACCGGTAGTTTTGTAAGCGAAGGCAATTGGTCGCGAATATTTAGAGATTTATTTGAATTTTTTATAAAAATTTTCAACTCGTGTTAAACGAAAGTGCTGATAATTTTTACGAAAGTGTAATATTGTATTGCGAAAAAATACATATAAAACTAAACGTGTGTTAATAAATAAGAAAAATTATTTATTTATGAAATTTGTAAACAAAAATATTTTCAAGGAAATTTCACGCATTGCAAGTGGAAAATAATTGAATTTTTTATTGTGTGCTATTTTTGACTACAGCGACGTGTTCGTAAATAACTGTATGCTACACATTTATAAATAACTGCCAATACATTGTTGTTTGTGCTGTCTAAACTGTGCGTGGCTTTGTGTTGCAGCATAAATAGCGTAATGCCCGAATTCTTTAAGTTCAATGAAATAGATATTTGTTTCGAGTGCATTTTATCAGTTTGAGATATAAAAAGTTAGCGCGTTAAAGCTGACAGCTTTTTTCACTGTGTGTACGCGCAACAAAGCTGCGTCGATTTGACGTGTGTTATTGTGTTATATATATTTTTTTGCTTTTATCAGCGCGCGCGTGTATTTGACAACAACAAAAAACGTTTGATAATTATAAATTAAACGAGTGTGTATGGCAAATATACATAAATAAAGAGTAAAATACCAATATTTTTGCTAGCGCGTTCATATTACAAAACAAATAAGCGAACTAACGGCATATTTGACATTGCGTTGAAAAGGAAATATGCTTGTGGCTTGCGACTAAACGCAAATTGCCAGCAACATATGGAGCAAAAGTACAATCTGTAAGCAAAATACTGCATTAACGTTAAATAAATACAACATTACCGAGCAGCACCGAACCGAGCAACGTCGAGGCACGAGTTCCAGCTACACTTGGATTAAATTTCACCTGATTTGTATCGTCACCTTTCGCCTATAATTAAACTCAACGTGATCACGCGCTCACACTACGCTACATAGCGCATTAACCAAATTGCAATACGCAGAAAACAACAACAAGAAAAGAAATAAATAAAATTCTCACTGACATCCTTTGGCGCACATCCATCAGCCGCCAACTCCATAAATCGGCTTAAGAGCTGTGAAATAAGTGCGCTGCAACAAAAACGAATAGACGGCAGCCGACAGTAAGCTGCTGCAGGCGAGAAGGTGTGCAAAAAAAAATACGAAAGCCAATAACAACAAGGAGTTGAAGGAGCTACGGCTCGTAAGCGCATAACAGATTCGCGCAAAAGACCCATAATTTTAGTGACGCCACACATTCGCCGACCTTCCGACGTCGCGCCTCCTCCTCATACTCCTTCAAAGCCAAGCTCAGCATCATCATCAACAGCCACTTGAAGCCGGCGACCTTTTCGTTAGCCACTTAAGCGTGTGCACCTTTTGTGAGGTTACCCTGTGTTTTTTTTTGTTTTTTGTTATAACTGATCTTCGGACGTACGCTCACCAAACGAGAATACGAGAATAAGAACCAGCATCAGCGTTGTCGCCAGCCTGATCACAGTTGTTTTTGTTTTTGTTGCTGTTGCAGTTATTGCTGTGATTATTATTGTGTGCTGTGCTGCGCGGCCGCCTATTGTTGATCACTTTAAGCGATCGTTCGTTAAAAATTATTGTTGTTGTTATTGTTCTTGTCGTTGGATTCCCTCAAGTTGAGCGTAGCGAACCTTGGCCGATCGCACGGCCATACAGTCATACAGACAGACAGACATTTATTTATGAGCGCAGTTCTCGTATTTTAAACGGTGGCGACGATCTTCCGCGCTGCACGCCTGTAACTATTCTACAAAACAACAACATACACACACACACACATAAGTGTTATTGCCATGCTCCGGCAGTAGTTGTTATTGTATTTGGTGTTTTGGACATTCGTTCTGTGAAGGTGCAGCAGTCGCTTAGCAGCTAAAAACAAAAAAGAAAACAAAGCGTGGCAAAAGAACAGCAGAAATACAAAAAAAGAATTAGAGAGGCCTGTAGACGCATAGGTGTTGTTGTTGTATAGTCTTCATAAAATACTTTAAAGGCCAGCTTGTTGTAGAGCCTGTTGCAGGCGATCACAGTAAAGCGAAAAGGAACGAAAAAGGCCGAAAGGAGAAAGAGAACGAGCAGCAGTCACAGTCGACAGTAATGGCGCCGAAATCCAGAAAGAAGAAGGCACATGGTAAATAATAATAATAAATTTTAATCTGTTTTTATGCGCTTTTCGTTCAACCTTCAGACATACTTACAGACACATATGTTCTTGTTTAGTTGCCTTACTCGTTAAATTCTTAGTTTTCTTACTGAAAATTTTTATTTAGTTTTTTTTTTTTAATATTTGTGCATTTTGTGTTGTCTCTTCGCTCTTCTGTGTTTTTACCAACCATTTGTTTTAATACATTTTTTCGCATTTTTTTAATTGTCATTTCATATAATATTTCGTTTATAATTATAAGATTCCTATGCGGCTACATGAGAATGCCACAAATTAATGCTCGTTTGAGTGTGGGTTGGCTGTTTTTATTTAAAGCTAGCAAATACCTGTCTAAAAGCTTTTTTTTTATACCTACATACATACATACATATGTATATTCGTTGCGTACATTTTGCAAAATATTTCTAATAAAATTTATGAAAGATTCAACAACATTACGTGGTTGATCGTTAATTTCGAAAGAAGAAAATAAGAAACAATTCCTTCCCTCTTATAATCTAAAATATTTGTTCTTATTCCGATCAGGCTTTAGACCTAGTTAGGTTAGGTTAATAGGTTGATCCTAAGAAGGACGCTTGGACAGCTTGAAACACTGGTTTATAGCGGTACCTAAAACTCCTAATAATTGATTATGGCACTCCTTATAAATCAATGAAGCCTATCACACATTTTTTAAAGCGGCTTTGGACAATTTCCTTCTCCTGGTTCGCCGAAAGTAAGACAGCCGAGTTGTTCCAACCTCAGCCTTGCAAAAGCTGGACAATGGAGGAGAAAGTGCCTGGATGTTTCCTTCTCACCTTCTTTCATACATTTTTGACAATTTGCGATCGACACGATTTTTGGCCTTACCGCATATATGTCAAAGCTAAGTCTCTCAGACATCATAAATAAGAGTTTTATGTAAATTCATACTCTCATGTTCTTGTTGTAGTTATAGCAATTTGAAGAATTGCGTTGAGCTAATTGCCGTTAGCTGAATCTAAACTATGTTATGTTCTTCCCAAACGTCGTGAATGTTTGGTTTCAGTTAACTATAGAAAATGATTGTGAGGCAGTGATTTCTTTACGAGTTCGATTACTTATGGCTCCTATATCTCTGTGGGTGGTACCGATCGCAATCCATTGACTTACAAACAGCCTACAATAATAATAATAATAGATTTTAATAAGAATCCGAATGATTATAAGTATAAATATGGACGTTTAATATTTAGACTTGGAATCATTCGGATCTTTATGCGAATCTTCTCAAAGTCATTACTACAATAACCAATATTTTTTGGGATATTCAAAACAGAGCTTAATTTAAAGCTTCGAAATCGTCTGCTTGGTAATAAAATTTATGTGGGTGTCTGAATAGTTTTGCTAATCAGCTTGCAAGGAAAGACAATCTCGTCTCATTATCATTGGTTTGGAAATTGGTGGGAGTTCTGTTGTCCTCTTGTGGTTGCTGTTGGTCGCTTGAAATTCTCGTGAGTTCGGCGAGCACTGCTCAACCGTCTGTACTTGAACGGTTTCGAGGTTCTACTGGCCCAGACTGAATTGCAATAGCGGTATAGCGAGCGCTTGATAGCGAGCGAATGAAACTGATTCGAAGACAATTTTGAACCCGATCCGACTTCCCTTCAGAACAGAATCTTAAAAATGTGATTGTTATGCTTAGGATATGCTTATAATACACTTCGGCTGGCTTTACCTACTACTTATATTTTTCATACTAACAGCAAATCAGATATTAGGAATAGTTTACATATATTCCAAAAACCAAATTTATCAGTTGTGTGTCCAAACAAACTTTTACAGCGTTAGCATAATTTAAACCACTCAAGTTGGAATAAAATTTGACGTTCTTTCACGAGAATTATTTCTCTTGTAACTTTTTAGAGCAATTGCTTGTAAAAAAAACTTATATTCACTGCCAAAAAAAAATAACGAAATAAAATGCTTTGCCATTGTAAATTAAAAAATTACAATACTACAGTTATATCAGCCGCCAATAATCTCATGAACCACCGGTGAATGTTAAATTTAATGAAAACCCATAAAATACTTGAGCGAAAGGCAAGTGATTGTAAATAAAAAAAGCAACAAATACTAGATTTTTTTCAAACCATTCGCTTTAAGCAGTTCAAGAAGAAAGAATGGAATTAGACACAAACACAAAAGAAAATAGAGAAAGGAAAATACAAATATATATAGGTATATGTGCATGATAAATATATGTAGAAGAGTAAAAATACCGAAAAATACCAAAACAAATAATGCACAATCAACGATCATTCGAACTGACAGGCCGTTTAATTCGTTTCGAACCTCGACTTTTCTTAATGCTTACTATTCAAATGTACAACAATAATATATACACACGGCAAAAATACAATAGGTAGAGGTAAGGCAATACCAAATTCTTAATCTCGATTTGTTATGGTCGTGCTGAGCATAAAAACTAAAGGTTTCAATGGACAGCAGGCAGTGGATTTGTAATAATATGCTTAATTTTTCTCGATTTCGTTTTTCTTACATTCGTTCTTTATTCAATTATTTCGAGTAGAGTAGCCAATTGTTGTGGGATTTACAAAAATCATGCATTTGTTGTTAAATATCATTTATTGAATTTACACATTGTGTGGTGAAGTAAAATAGCAACACGATTATAAATATATAATATATAAGCAGTAATAATTAAATATTATATTTTTTTTAGAAATAATTCTTAGAATTTTTTAGAAAATTATTATGGTTTATTAAACTTTATTAATTTTTGTTTTATTATAATACTTAAATATTATATCTTTTTTAGAAACAATTTTGAGAATTTGTTGGAAATTTATTATGTGTAGTTTATTAAACTTTATTAATAATTTTTTTTTTATTATAATAATCAAATATTATATTTTTTAGAACAAATCCTTAGAATTTTTTGGAAGATGATTATAGTTTATTAATTTTTATTAAATAATTATTTTTATTTTTTATTTTATTATTTTTTCACAAAATATTTTCAACAAGAAAATTTTAGTTTTATTAAATTAAATTCACTTGATATATTATTTAATTAGTAAATTTTTTATTTTTCTATTAAAAGTAAAATAAATATATTGTATATGTATGTATTTTTTTAATAATTTAATTTATATACTAACACAAATAAAATCTAACTTCCCTTTTACTTCGTTTTACTATATTCCACTTAATTTTTTATCAATATTTTGTATTATTATTGTATTTCTGATTGTTTTTTATTACACCCTTTTAGAGATTAGATATTTATGTTATTTATCAAACACATGAACTTTATAAGCATTGATAATATTTTTTAACGCTTTACACATATCACGATCACTTTCGAGTGCAATATCATATCATTTATGACCAAAAAAAAAACATTCCATTGCACAAAATTTAAAATCTGTGTCATTCGACACCAGTGTAATATATCTCTAAAATCAAGCATACACATTACTTGTATTATTTTCTTCTATACAACATACTATATTCATAATTTTTTCTCACTATACCACTACGTGTATGTTTTTAAATATTTCTACACACTTATTTCAAAAAAAAGAGTATCGTCCTTTCCCAACATTTACCACAATGCGCCTTACAAAGTGCCATTTCTTGTACTTATTTGTATGTTACTCATGTTACACACGCTTGTTCGATCAGTCGCCCGATCGCTAAAACGCTCGCCAGCACGACCCGCCGTTGAGATTCTACGATTTGATAAATTGAAATGCGTGTTTGTTATAACGAACACATCCTGTTCTCCAAAAAAACTGCCCGTTCTGTTGTTGTTGTTTAAGCGTAATGCATTTTTGCGGTTGTTGTTGTTGTACTTCACACTGGGGATTTGTAATTAACTGTTTTGCCTTTGAAAAATGTAAGGATCCATCTGGAGTGATATTACAATAATTTTGTTTTTATGAGTAAAAGCAGTGAATCGATTTAGTCTTTAGAAACTGATTTTTAAAATTGAGATTGCATTCATTGCATATTTGTTGTTGTTATAATGGTTTGAGAGAGGTGGTGTTATTACGACGAACGAATTATTATTTTCAATTTTTTGAAAGTGTAAATATTATCGATAGTCGTTCAAGGCTTTTGTAATCGGGTGTTTAAACGTTTGGCTGACATAATATGGGTACTCACGTACAGTTAATTAAAATAGGTTTACTGATACGGTGTGTTTTAAGAATTAAATGCTTCAAGAATTTATATATACTTGTATTTTACATGTACATACATTAAATGTTTTCAATTATTTATAACTCTAATTTTTTTCATTTTAGGTAAGTTCAACTTCTAGAAGTGCAAAATTTTTGATTGAAGAAACATCAAACCCATTTTTGTAATGTAAGTGCTCAAAAAAAATTTAATAGTAGCTTAATATTTTAAAATTAATCAACTACCAAATTTTTTCATTAGTTTACTGTACTAAATAAGAATAAATGCCAGATTTACGAGTCGTTTTTGTCTAGTAGTTTCCCCTAAATTCTAAACGATTCACATACTTTAATCTTATAACTCGCTATTCTAGTTGAAACTCTTGCTTGTATAAGAAATTTCCCATAGTGTAATTTTTAGAAACTCAATCATAAAAATAGAAGCAAGTGGAAGATTTACAACACCTTCTCTGTCGTATATGAAGTTTTACAACTATTTTCCGAAACTAATACAGCTCAGCTAAGCATTGTTACTTGCATTCTATATATTCCGAAACGCATACAAAACTTACATAGGTGTTTCCAATTGTGTCATAAATGCGCCACAGGTGATCACTGAACGAGATCTTTTGTCAGCAGTCTTCACTTGTGCTCGTTGCCCTGAATCATCTGTTCACCACAGGTACCAAATTGCATAAATCTTTCTAATACGAGTAGTGTACACCTATAAAACTGTGAGGATTTATATGTTATACAATATTGTGCACGCTGTTTTACGAATTGATTTAAAAAAAAGCTATATAAAGAGACAAAATAAAACAACATCTGTTTTAAAATGTCTGTTCTAATTTAGGTGTTTGTGTATGAGATTGTCTTGTAATAATGGGATTTTTTTTTAATATATCTTAACTTTTTCTTCATGCAGAATTTTACCATAATACGTTCCCAGCCTTATTAGACATTTAGCGTTTCACTCTTATTAGTTATCGGCTTTCGATATTATCGCTCTCATCTATACGTAGTATGATATTTTCGGTCGCGAAATAATTTGTGTGTTTTTAAATTTCAAATTATTGACCTAATGGTTTTAGTAAAATTAATAGACATTTGCACATTTCTAATTCAAATCGAAATATTTTTATGATTCGATCAGAAGAAACTTAAATTAAAATTATTGTACTTTGCGCTCACATTTTTACAGTAACAGTTTAGTATATAGCTTTCATATCAACTGTTCTCATTTAAGTTTTTATACTCGTAATGATTAGCTAGTTTTATCTGGCAATAATGGCAGAAAATTTTTATTTCTATTTGATTGGCTGTTATGCTATTATATTTATTGTTAGTTCTCATCGGTTTTTTTCATACTTTTATATACTATCTGATATACCTATTTGCTTGACAAGGTGTTCAGTTTGGCAATAGTGTTCTGTGACTGGCAACCCTTCAAAATCCAATCAACCAAACCTTGCATTTTCCTGGAAAAGGCGTATTGATTACAATAGCTATCAGTTGTATAAAAATAATTGTAAATATAAATTTGCGTTGCACAGGGTTTCCTCACATATTTTAATGCTTTTATTAGTGTTCACATTATTTATGATGTTTTGCCTGCGTCGCTGATGCGTAATCTTATCTCAGAAAATGTAAATATATGTGTGAGAGAAATATTGTTACTATTATTATTCTTTTTTTGTAAAAATGTGTAGTATATATAATGTTTATATATCGCACAGCGATACGCGTAATTTTCAGATCGGTTTATCGAAACAATAAAGTTGCAACTTTGAACGTTCATCTGTTGTCATAATTACCCATTGTTGGTTAGAAGAAATGCTGTTTATGAAGGATTGAATTGAAAAAAATATATGTATATGGCTGAGGCGAATACATAGCGTGTGACATTTTTATGTATTTTATTTGGGTTAAAAACATATTTTTTCGCATACGAATTTACAATTCGAATAAAATAGCTAGCCACATTGGTTGTTCGAAAAACTTGTCGATATTTATCTATTTATTATCGAAATCGTTTGGAGTAATACAATTCTTTCAATCGATAATTATTTGCTCTATATATTATTATTGTTTTAAGTTTTATTTCGTAGTCGAATTCTTATATTTCATTCTTATATTTTTAATTTAATTTAATTTGAAAAAAAAAATTATAGTTAAATTAATTTTTTATTTTGTTATATTTCTAAGATTTTTTATGAAAATTTTTTATTTGTTAAATTCATTTTTTTATAACTTTCCTATTTTTTATATTTTTATTTTTTTAAATTTATTATTTTATTTTTAATTTCTCAATAAAATTACATATATTTTCTGTTTCGTTATATACCTATAAACTTTTGTAAGCATTTTTTATTTAAAAAAAATTTTTTTAACCTATTTATTCTAATTATTTTGTATGTAATTTTGTTTTTGTATTAATTTATTTTTCATTTCATTTTTTTTATTCTATTCTAACTCATATATACCGCTATAAATTGTACTCTTTCTACATAAGTCTGTGCATAAGGCAATTTTCACTCAAGCATCCGTCCATTAATCAAAATCTTTCCAAACAATAAATGTTATTGCTGACATTTCACGTATACTTACATATATATACGTAATTATATATTTTCTAAACGTTTTGCACATTTCCTACGTTTTGCAAATTTTAACAAGTATCTTTTGTTTGTTTGCATTAAGTCGTCATGCTGCGCCGTCTTCCGCTCTAGCCACACACTTGCCAAGTTTCTTCGATAACACACCTCAGTTCACCATACTCGTGACTTTTATCATACAGACATGTATATCGATTATTTTTCGCTTGTTTATTTGTGTTTCGTGTTTGTCACTTTACCAGTAGCTAATTGCTTAAGTGACAGCCACGTCCAGTCCGTCCGGCAGTCGGTAACTAATAATGTCAACAATTTCTGTCTGTATGTATTTTGTGTTTTGTTTTCACCTTCGATTGTGCTATGGTATGCCAATAAGTTGAGTGGTAGCCGCATAATTTGTCGTCATTATTAATGCTTAATCAGTAATTATCGCAAGCCAACATACGCATAATTAATTACAGCAAAAAAAAACTTTAAGCGCGAAGCTGAAAAAAAATGCATGTGTAACCAATTTTCACTCGAGTGCAAATATTTATGCCTATTCCTGTTTTTTGAACCAAAAACAAAATATAATTTATACGTTATACTTTACGCTATAATGTGTTTATTCAGCGTTTCTCGTTTTTGCTCTGGCGCGTAGCAGGCATATTTTTGAAAAATAATCGCTGTGTTTACTATTTTAAAGAGGTCATTGTCTCTCATTGGTTGCAAAAGAATAAAAATTGAGAAAAAAATTATTTTTCGTACATTTTTTTTTGTCAAAATTAGCGTAAAATGCTGAGAAATGACATTAAAACTGATTAGCCGTCATTTTAGTTGCTAACGTCAGTTCCTTCTAAATGAATTTAAACTTAATCGAATCATATATTTTTCGAAGTAGCGTATAGACTACTATAGAGTACAGTTGATACGTGATTTTGAATAAATAAAGTTATCGAAATCGTAACTGTGCAAGAGTGCTTTCTTTAAATATAATAAATCATGAAGTTCCTAATTTCTTCGCTGCTACTGTTAGCTGTCACAACAACGCTTGCCTACGTCACTGAAGAAGTGCCAAACGAAGATGGTGTACTTGTGCTGACTACCGCTAATTTCAAGCGTGTCATAGAAGAAAATGATTTGGTCTTGGTAGATTTTTACGCACCATGGTGCGGTGCCTCCATAGCGCTTACACCCGAATTTGCTAAAGCTGCGCAGTTTTTAACAGAGTATCGTTCACCCATCAAGCTGGCCAAAGTCGATGTAACTGTCTCGAGCGAATTGGACACATATTTCCAATTGCGTCAATATCCCACCTTGAAGTATTTTCGCAACGGCGTTCCCTTTGAATATAATGGCGGTTATCGGGCAGCTGATATTATTGCGTGGCTTACTGCAGTTCAATGAAAAAATTTAGAAATATTAAATATTAATTTTTAATTAAATAAACCCAATTTTAATATGCAATAAAATTAAAATTTTCATTTGCACAAATCGCTTCTTTTTGGCGTCAAACCGGAAGCGTCTTAGTGTATTGACCGTTATGAGCTGTGGAATTATCCACATTCACATCCAATTATGTACTTAACATACACACAGTCTTTCTACGACAACTGATATCCAACGCTGTCATAAAAATCCGTTCAATCTCTCAAACACACTTGGTGTGGCGTGTGGTCGCACTGCAATTATAACTGTTGTCCAAATAAATCTGTAATATGAGTTATAATGTTATAATGTTATTTTGACAAAAACTGTCAGCTACTGTTCAGCAAATGCAGTCAATTGCTGGTTTCAATGACCATTTCAGGCTTTAACGCTTCATATCCAACTCATGCCCGATCGGCAATCAAAGTCGTCGCTGAAGTGTGCCAGTCCGTTATGGTTTGTGTTGTGATGCTTTGATGAGTTTTGCTGCTGTTTAGCGTTTGCCAGTTTGTTTGTTTTGACTTTGCTGTTGTTTTAAATTTTTTTTTTGTTGTTTTCCTTATCATTTGATTCGTTAGTTTTTTCCCGGTCGTATGTGCTTGCAATTAAAATGAAGCGCTTAGCTTAAATTCAATCGTCGCTTGGCAAAATGTGTTCAAATGAGTGAATCAAGTAATTGCCGGACAGATTGACAGCCGTGGGGCCAGCTGTCGCCAGTGCCAGTGTTGTGCAGCAGCGAAAATAAAAGTCAAAGCTTATTGTTATTATTGTTGTTAGTATTAATTGAATTGTGGGATAATACGGAGGCAGCGGCATTAAGTGTTATAGCTTTTTTTTTATACATATGTATGTTTGTAAACTATAAGCTGATTTGCGAACGTACAACAGCAGTTGGAAGCTAGCGGAAGAGCGAACTTTTTTTCATCTCAGCTGATTTATTATTTATTATTACTACTATTATTTTTATTTCAGTTTGCATTCATAATTTAAACATCAAACTTATCTGCATTAAATTTTTTGCCTTTTCGTGTGTTTTGACACAATTTCTAACCTGAAACCGGATATAATTTTGAGCTTAGAAAAAATATGTGGAAAGCTTTATATTTCAAATAATTATAGGAAATATTAAGATTTCGAAAATGTTATACTGTAAAAAAAAAGCTTAAACTAATTGACGGTTTGTTGGCTTTCCCAGTGAGGGCATCAATTATATTGAAATCGATTACTCTTCATTGACTGGGTTGCCTTCGCTAATTAGAACGAATTTAGTTCATAATGTTTAAGGTTTACTTTTTTGCATATTTTTCTCTTAATTTTTTGGGAAAATGTTATTTATAAAATTAATTTAGTAGAAAATACTTGTTTCACTCCTTGAACATATTTTTTGTTATCAGAAATTAAATTTATTAATATTAACAGATTTTTAAATATAAAATAATTACATTTTTTTTTTGATAAAAAAAAAAATTCCCAATAATATTTTATTAAAAAAATGTCACCGTCATATGTTAATAAAAAAGTATAAGTATAAAAATAGAAAATTAGTACACTTATTCATTTGTGCAAAAATTTTCAGAAAGAAAAAAATATTTCGAATTAAAATTTTATATAATATAATATTTTATTAAATCAATTTTTTCAGTTAAACATTTTTTTTCAATTTTCTTTGTTAAGATCACACAGAAAATTTGTTAAGCAAAGTCTAAGTTGTTTGAAAGAAATAGCTAAAATATTTTTGATGCAAGTAACTACTTTTTTTTCTTATAATATTTCCTATGTATTTTTTGCTAAAAAAATTCCCAATAATATTTTTATTAAAAGAATTAAAATTGATGTTGTGATTAAAATTTTACGTAATATTTTTTTAAATCGAAAATTTCTTAGAAACAAAAATTTTTTTGATTTTGTTTTTCTATATTTGTATGTTTACGATTTCATTTCTTTCGATTTTGTCTGCAACGCGGTTAAAAAGTATTATTTTTTTTACATAGTTCCGCTCTTCTCACAATGCGCGGTCGTGCGCGTGTCGTGTCGTCACTAATCACTTTACTCGTCACAGTCTCAACTTCTCCGACTTAATAATAACAAAATATGTACATACATATCTACATATATGGTATACTTACATATATATTCTTTGAGTTATTTCTATTTTTGTAGCTGCTAGCTGGAAGTTCTTGTTTTTATAGCTTTTATTTTACATGTTGCTTTTAATACTTTTTTTTTTTAATTTTTTTTCGTATATGTTTTTATATGCTTCCGATTGTACCTTTTGTGTTGCTGTGGTTTTTGTTGCTATTTTACACAGTGTTGTTTATCAAGTTGATGGGTCTTTATTTTGATTAATCATCAACAAATTTCAGCGGAATTGTTATTTTTAAATGGTTTTCATTTAGGAAACAAATTTCGTGCCTCCCAAAGTCAGAGATGCTTGTGTGCTGTGAAGGTGTTTTGCTTATAGTTCTTGTTTCATTCTTGTGTGTGGGGTTTTTTGTTTTTGTTTTTTCTTTACAAATTAATGAAGTGAAAATTAGTGTGCGTCACAGTGTCGCTTTTCTGGCAGCACGCGAAAGTGTAAAGCAAAAACAATCTAGAGAAATGTTGGAAAATCTAATTAGAACTTTTGATTATTTGTTGAGGAGAATTTTGAATAATGAGCGTTGACAGGTGAAGAGAGAGGTTGAAAAGTAAATGTGAGCATGCAGTCGTTTAAGATAAATTATTTGCTTTAAATGATTTTTGAGAATGTTTTACACAGACATTTTTATAGTTATATAATATATACAAATATGTAATTATATTTTACATATGTATATATAAAATTTAATTTCTTTGAGAATAAGTATTATTTATAATTTTTTTTAAATTATTCCAGCAAGATATATTATAATATTTTTAAATTAAATAGCAATAATGTTAAAATATTTAATTTATCATAGCGAAGTAAAATGAGAAATAATTTCTAAAATTTTCTATATTTACATGAAGAATGTGTTTTTTCATACAAAAAATTTACACAAAAATAAATTTGTTTGAAGTTTGTAAAAAATTATACTTTTTTGTCATTTTTTGTGAAATAAATTGATTTTACATATTTCAAAATTTTTAGTTCCCACTTGAAACGAAATAATTTATTAATACAATTTCAAAACTTTTATAGAAAAATAAATTTAATTTTTTTCAAATCTAATTAAAATATTTAATTATGTTAGAAAAGTCAAATGAGTTTTATTTCTAAATTTTAAAATTCTACTGCAAAATTGCTAAAATTATTTCGTGAAACATGTTAATACTCTTATCATGCTTTTTTCAAAATATTTGTTTAAAATTAATTACGTTTTTTTATTAGGGACCAGAAATAAATAAAAAATATGTTTTATACAATAAAATATAATTACATTAACCATACATGGTATATTTATCTGAGTAAATATACTTAAAGTTGCTTTAAAATATTTTCGGTATTTATTGAGGTTTTAAATTCCCTAAAAGTCTTAGATTATTTAAAAAAAAATTATAAATAATAAAAATAATATATGGTATAATACTAATAATATATGTTCAGAATAAAAAAATTAATTAAAAATTAAATTAAAACTTTAAATATGAATTATTTTGCAAATTGAACTGTTTAAAAGTTTTAAATTATTCGATTTGTATAATCTTATTTATTTTTCCATCAAAAGTTTGAAAATTAATTATTTTACCAATATATATATATGTTTTGGAACGCAAAATTTAATGGTTAAAAAATAAAAAACAAATAATTAAAAGTCTTTAACTAATAAATAAAGAGTGTATGTACATAACAATACAATTAGAAATTAAATATTAAAACCGGGAAAGAAATATTTATAGTTTGAACAAATTTTTAAATTTGGAAAAATTAAATTTATTTTTCTATAAATAGTTATAAAATTGTATATATCCTTAAATTATTTTGCAAACATTTAATAAAAGTGTTAGAAACACAAATTTTGATCATATTTATTAAAATTCAAACATGTATAATTGTACCAAAATTTAAAAATGTATTTTTACTAAATTCGATAAATAAATATTTTTTTCAAAATTTTTTTTTCAAAAAATAAATATTTTTTTAAATTTATTTATTTATATTTTAAATAAATAAAATTTATATTTTAAATAAATAATTTTTTTTTTTTTAATAAATTTTTCTTTAAATAAATTCATTTTTTTTAATAGATATAGGTATGTATATATATATATTTTTTTTTTTGTAATAAATAATTATTTCAATTTCAAATTGCAAGTAAACCAATAACTAAGGGTTTATACCTCTTCATGCAGAAACGTATGTTTGTATGTATGCACATTTGTAGGTACATATGTACTTGTATGTATGTAGGTAATTTTTAAAGCGAAACAGCCATAAAAAATCAGCGCTTTGCAGTGAAGCATTTTAACGCATTGCAACGCTTCAAACGCATATCCTGTGAAATATTCACAGTCACAGCGCGTTGTGTTGCATGCGAAATGTGCACACATGTGCATTTATAAATACAACACTAGAAATGTATATATGTAGGTACATATGGTTGTACATAATATAAGCATATAAGCTAAAACCGTTTCTACACATTTTCTTTTTCTTTTTTATGGTTTTTTGCTTTAAGGGACTCTAGTGCAAATCGTAAATCGCAAACGATGGCAAACGAGAAGCAGCAGAACAGCACATTTTTATGCTGGATACACGAGCATACCTACATTTCGATATGAATGTATATGTGTGTGTGTCGTTGTTATTGGCTTGGCAGATCATTGCACTCATTCAGTTTACAGATAAATTTTATTTAAACAGTTTTCTTTGTTATTGCTGTGCTTGTTGTTCTTTTCTTTCACTGCCCGCTCCAGCACATTCGTCATGCCTTTCATTTTCGGTGCAAAGTCTGCAGCACATTGCAAGCGTTGAACACCAGCCAGCCAGCCAGCCAGCCAGACATCCAGAGCCATTACTTTCTGTCACAGTTCTTGAGACATTGCATTTTTTGGGCGATTTTCTTGTTGTTGCACTTACTTACAAATTTGCAGACATACATATGTGTATATGTTGCTGTTATTGTTGTTTGCTTTATGTCACACCAAGTTGTGATGCGGCAGAGGAGTCTGCTCAGCAAAACACACACACAAACAAACATACATATGTAGGTGTGACAGTGTTGGCATTCGTGGCGGGGCGCTGCAGCTGCTGGTGTCACTCAGAGGCAGCTGGAAGACTTCTTCCTGTCTCTGACTGCTACATATGTGTGTTTGTATGTATGCATTGTTTGTATGTACATATTTATGTGTAAGTTTGTCGGTATCACTTCGAAAATCCGTCCATCCAGCACATTTCTACTTTCAGGGTTTGCTTGCAAAAACAACAACTATGGCAGCGCCGATGGCTTAATTGAGTTAAAGCATTTTTTTAGCACAAAAGCAATAAGGAAGGTGAAAGGCAGCAATTTAAGGCGAAAGCAAAATTCTGTAGTCTTTTAACACTTCCTGTGTATAATATTTATATTAAACAAAACGCTTTTTTGAATTAATACACACATACATACCGTTTAAAGATATAAATATGTTAATATTTTTTTCTAATTACTTTTTTAATTTATTGTTTTCTAAAAACAAAAAAAAAATAAAATAAACATTAATTAATTTTCTAAAGTTCAAAAAAAATTGTAATTAATTAAAAATTAATTAAATTTATTTTAATAAATTTGTTTTAAATGCCGGTATTTTTCACAAACACTTCCTTCGCTCAGCACCCTTCTGGTCCACTCT